TCTCCATCTCTTCTGCAATTTTGTGACAGGTCTGCATTACCAAGAAGGAAAATAACTGTCCAAGGAGGAGCTTTTCAAAAGACTTCAGTAAGACTTGAACTAGCAGGACTCCTTCCCTACCTCTTAATACACTTGCCTTCTGTCAGCTCCTTCTTTTGTAACTGCAACATCCTCTTCTGGCCAGTGAGCTGAAGGGAAGGCCCGAGGGCTGTGTTGTGCAGCCTGCTGAAAGGAGTCTGCTAAAGCTCGGCTGGCACAAGGCATTCAGGGAATGGCTGCTGCAGAGGCTCTAACAGCATCGTTTTCTAAATGCATTATATTTAATCACTGTTGCATAGACCAAGCCTGACTCTGTACACTGTGTAAACAAAACATAGCAAAGGCACATTCTTTTTCTTAACATCTTTCAGCAACAGTGATACTTAGGATTACTTCTTACTCAGGAAGAATGAAATACTTCTTCTATCTGTCACAGTAGATGAGCATTTGTGGTCCTTCCTCTGTTATATGTCTCTGATTCCAGCAGTCAGAGATCTAGGAGCTCCCTGAGCCAGAGGTGCTATCTGGACCGCCGTGTTTTATTGTCACCTCTGGACCCATGATCCATTAATTCCTCCCATTTCTTTTTTAAACTCATTTATACTTTTGGTCTCTACTGTATTTTCTGGCAATAGATTTATTTATGTATTATGTGGAAAAATACTTGCACTTCTTTTTAACCTTTCATCTGATAATTTCACTTAGAGCTGCATAAATCTTACATTCTATGGAATAGCTGCTAGTCATTTCCAGCTTGCTTTCTTTTCATTATTCATGGCTTTTGGCTTATCACAGTCCTCCTAAATGGATTTTACGTGAAGTGATTGTGTGGTCTTTGTTTTATAACCTTTTGTCGCTTGTCAACTCACTGACAGATCAAGTAGAAAAATCACCTTCCTTAAGTGAAAGAGGAGGCTCCAGCAGTAGAGATAGCTGTGGCTCAACTTACTTCTATCCTGTTCAACCATGAGCCAAGTCACTTAGCCCATCGGCACAGCTCCCTGTCTGGAAAAGGGGAGCGTGTGTCGGAGGACCAGTCTCCCAGACCAAGCAGCTCTGTTCAGTGACTCACAGGCACTCAGATATGAGTGACATGGTCTGCTCAGATGTCCAAACACGGCCCTTCCTTACCGCTCAGCAATGTCAGGTTTAATCAATCGTTTAACTATCTGGGAAGAGAAGTGCTGTTACTGTTATGACTCTGTTGTTCTGTATGCCCTAAGACTCGCATAACTTGTACTATTTATGGTACTGTGTAAATTCGAGTAGGAGATGAGTGAGCTGGGGAGGAGAAAAGTTAAATAATGCATTAAGTAGAATAGCAGAAACTATATGCCAGAGACTACAATAGCATAGGGAATACAAAACACTTTACAGTTATGCAGCATTTCTCTTTAGTTGTTCTTGAATGATGACATAACTCAGCTATAAAACATGTCTGAGTGGTATTTTGTTGTGTTTGCACTTTAGAATGGAATGTAGCTGTAAATCATGCACAGTGCACTGAAAATTTGACTACTGTGTTTTTGTTCTGTCCTGTGTTCTTACTCATAGGATATCAATAACTAGAGTGACAGCTGACATTTCTCTTGCTAAGAGGTCTGTTCTAAATAATCCAAGCAAGAGGGCAATAATTGAGCGGTCAAATACAAGATCCAGTTTAGGTAAGACATTGACACAGATGTAATTCTGAACATGGTTCCATACTGGAGGAAAGTGACAGGATTTCAGCCTTCAAGATGTCATCAGTTCTGCAATTTTAAATGTGTCTACAGCATTTTAATGTATAATTCTGAATTTCACATACTCAAATGGGAGACAAATTTTTCCTGACTGAGGAGTGGCAACAGAGCACTGCGTTAGCCTCGCGTTAAGCAATTACCTGGGCTAGAGCAAGCAGTGTTACAGCTGCTATTTGCAAAAGATGAGTTAGGGGCCTGCAGTCACAATATGGGTTCAGTGCTGTTTCCTTCCAAGGTGAGTTGGCTTTTAATTCCACACCACAAGGTGCCAAAGAGCTTTGACCTTGTCCAGCCAAGAAGGAAATGTTGCTCCTGACCCTGGGACTGGTTTTGTATTTAATCTTGAACAGCTTCAGCTTCATTTTGCTGTCTAGCCACGAGGCTCTGGGTCTTCCCACCCTCTCCTCACAGTGTCATGACTGCTGGGTTACACTGGCCTGATGAATTCTTTTCTTTCACAAGAGTGGAAATTTGTGTGTGGTATATGCATGCCAATAACTACCTAGGAGGTAGGAGGAGTTGGTTTTCAGTCTTCTCAGGATGGGCCTGATGCATTTTTTTCTTTCACAAGAGTGGAAATTTGTGTGTGGTATATGCATGCCAATAACTACCTAGGAGGTAGGAGGAGTTGGTTTTCAGTCTTCTCAGGAAGAAAAGGCTCTTAAACCCAATTCTCTGACATCCTGAGTGACTGACTGAACTAGAGATACAGGTCATAGGAAGCTTCACTTCTAGTTGGCATTCTAGTACAGGAGTAGGCACCCCAAAATTAAGTGCCGCAAAGGTGAGTACTACATCTTCTTGTGCCTGTGAACATGCGTTGCTTTCTGGAACAGCTCTTAGGCAAATTAAATGCATGCGAGTTGCTGACATACAGCTCTTTTGTGCTTTGGTGGTAGAACTTACAGGCTTCAATTTCTGCTGAGTTTATCTATTTAAAATTCGTCACATGCATGTGAATGATTAAGAAGGGTCAGAACAATGAATGTCAGAAATATAATTTACATGGAAATAAATCTCTTCTTTTTCTTCAGACAAAAGTGCTTTGGTGTGAACATTGCCATTAGTGTCTTTTTAAATAATACCCTGTCAATTATTTAACTTAAACAATTTTTTGTGGTTATAGAATTAGGAGGTCACAGTTCTGCTTTTCATACAGACTCTTGTTTAAGTTAAATCAGAATTACAATCTGAGAACAAAAAAAGTTTTAAGAAATATCCATACATCACTTGCTGTCGAAAATAAAAAATCTTATGACTCCTAAGCTATTTAGCAGATTTGGAAAATATGCTTGAGTCTATTTTGTGTTAATAGAAACATGCATTTAATTGTGCCAATGTTTAAATACACTGATACTATAAAGGAACATAGTATGTATGTATTTTCAAGCAACAGAATTGTCTTAAGTGTAATATTTATTTAAAAAATTGCCTTGAGTAATAGGTTATTTTATAGAAATTAGAGTAATTCACATATGGAGTTCATATGTGAATGTATACAGTCTATGAAAATAAATGGGTGATGATATTTTTGTCTAAGTAATGCTGGGGTTGAATGGCTTTCACCTGTTTTGTTTTCCTTTACTAGCTGAAGTACAGAGTGAAATTGAAAGAATCTTTGAGCTGGCAAGGTCCTTACAACTGGTTGTCCTAGATGCAGACACTATCAATCACCCTGCACAACTTATCAAGACATCTTTAGCACCAATTATTGTCCATGTTAAAGTGTCTTCTCCAAAGGTAATGTATCTCACCCTTAAAATATGTGCATTTGAGAGGGACCTGGAGGGCAGTGTGGGAGTGAGTATCTGCACCTGAAGAAACTAAGAGTGAGGTGGAGAGAAAAAAAGTGACATTTTTAGATCAAAGGCTTCACAAGTGCAGTTTCTTTTTTCTGCCCTAAACCTTAACCTAGCCTTGGGCTGAGCCTTAGACAAGGCACCTACCAATTCAGTAGACAAAATTCCTGAGGAGCAAATTCTTTCTGTAGCTCTTGGTTCCCCTTGGCAGTCCCTTTGCAGCCCCCCTACCGCAACACAGCTGTAGTTCTGGGTTGACTCACTCCAAGCCCTAACCTTAGGCTGAGCTTCAGAAAGACACCCAGCCCTTTGCCCACTTCCCAAGCAGTTAATGATGGTTTTCCGTTGATCACAAACAAAGCCTGTCTGCTTTTGTCTGTGGCTTCCGCCTGGGGCATGTTGATACACCATCTACAGCTGGGTCTGGACCGGTGTGGCCAGGCTGCTGGCCACCTCCTGCATGGAGCATAAATGCAACTGTTGCTCTGGAGTGCAGCACAGACCCTACCGCGACCATGGCTGTTAGTGCAGAAGGGGGCCTGGAATCACGACGGAGACTCTGGGTCTCATGGAATCAGCACAGCAATGGTGGGATGCTGCCCAGCAGCTGCTGGAGTGACCACCATGGCACATCAGAGATATCTGCAGAGAGCCATGTGCCAGTTCTTGGTGCAGGTGACCAGCAAGTAATGGGGGAGGTTCTGCTGGACCTGCTACTGTGGGGAAAAAGGAAGAACTGGACAGAGTTGTGAAGGTCCAGGACAGCCTTGGCTCCAGCAACCATGAGATGGTGGAATTTAAGATCCTGAGAGAAGTGTGCAGTACAAATAACAGAATTGTAGACCTGGACCCTAAAACTGGCTTGTTCAGGGATCTGTTCA